AGAGAGAGAGAGAGAGAGAGAGAGAGAGAGAGAGAGAGAGAGAGAGAGAGAGAGAGAGAGAGAGAGAGGGGCCAAGGAATAGGCTTGGAAAGAAGTCCGTGGGAGAGAGCAGCGGCTCGACAGATCTGCTGCTCTTCTATGAGGACACCGATGACATGGAACACGAGGATGGGCCCGGCATACTGATGGTCAATTTGGACAACAGCGCTCGTGAGTTCCATATTCTTCACAAGCACCTGATCTGTCGTGGGGATAGCTTGCTCGTCTCCATCGACGAGGGCAACATCCTGCGCAGTACACGGGTCGAGCAGGGATATGTTCCCGCCAGGAAGTGGACTGCCAAAGCAGAGCGACGCTTCCTAGATGTCAGAAAGTATGCAGCAGCTTTGCTTTGCGACATGGAAAGCAATATTCTGTCGGCCGAAACACGAGTTCGTGCTGCTTTGCAGGAGCGTGACGAGGCTATTCGCCGCGGGGACGAGGCTAACAACAAATTCTTGGAAACCAGGCAGCAGATGTTGGCCGTGTATAGGCTACTGGCAGAGAAGGAAGTAGTTATCGTTGGACTCCGAGAATGCCTGCCCTCCATAGAAATTGTGGACGTGAAAGGAGACTCTGAAGAGACTGTGTCAACATACCATTGCTCCTGTGAGTCGTGCATTGCGAAACGCGAAGCGACCTCCCTTCCCGACAACAGAGCTCATCGTGGGGAGTGTTCTGTGCACGCCGGAGGTCCGGCGGACGATAGTGTTGCTGATAGTGGTGTCGGCATGCCGAAACAGGCTATGGATGAAGACAGGATGAAGACAGTACATGATGAAGAAGCGCAGCTAGTGTGAGTTCAAATTGGCTTTCATGAAAGTGTCACCGCATGGGGTGCCAGGCAGTTGTCGAGCAGCGGCCACTGGCCAACAGAGCATGGGATGGGGAAAAACGTATTTACGTCCGGTAGGCTTTTTGGCTTTTGGAGAGAGAGAGAGAGAGAGAGAGAGAGAGAGAGAGAGAGAGAGAGAGAGAGAGAGAGAGATTTCATGGCCGATCATTTCGATCGACACTACTGCGGCAAGTGAGAGAGAGAGAGAGAAGAGAGAGAGAGAGCAAGGGTGCAATGCCTGCCTTCGTCCTGATCGGATATTTAAAGGCGTCAATGCTGACCATTTTATATGTTTATGTGGTCATTGTCATGCAAGTATGAACAAAGACTTTGGGATCGACCGAATGCTCTCTCTCTCTCTCTCTCTCTCTCTCTCTCTCTCTCTCTCTCTCTCTCTCTCTCTCTCTCTCTCTCT